TAATGTTCTTTTATAGAAAAAAAACACACCAAGTAGGTGAGAGACTTTTTTTTTTTTTTTTGGGAAATGAAAAAACCTCCAATAAATAACTTAAAAAAAATTTACCTATAAATCTTATATTAGAGAAAGTCGCATCATTTAGTTTTAAGAGTTTTTTTATGCACTAATTAGTCTTATTTTTTTTGGTAACCTTTATTAATTAATTTTTAGTTTCCATTAATATCCTTGATGTGATTTTATTTTCCTATTGTAGGTGATTCTAGGGTTTTGATTGCGTAACATTGACTGGAAGTGGAGGGCAACGTTTGCAAGGGTTTTGGTGCTTATCATTTTGGCTGGTGTTTTTTCCATTGACATGAACCTCGTGGCGTAACCTCGACAACATCAAGTACACAATCAATTTCATTCACATAGAGATATAATACAATATATAAAGTAAATGTAACCTCGACAAACAATTATACTCCATTGTCAACATCAACAAACACGACCCTTCAACCACCATATCACTATATGTTACACATCAACCACTACATCGCCAAATGATACCATGACATTAAGAATGCCTCTAGTGTTATTTTATTACATTTGGCCAACACTATCGGAACTACACACCCATCATCAACACCCCTAAACATACATACCGGAAACAAAAACACACTACCCCAAGTACAAATGAGTTAGAACCTATCTTACATGGAAATTTTGCAAACAATGTTTACTTACCGCATGCTACGTTGACGTCCCCAAATCGACGTCACACATGCAATCCAATATCCAATTCTCTAATGTTACTGCACTTCCTCTTTTTCCAACAATGCCAACGCGTTTGACATCAACAAAAATGCATTCAACTAAAAGACCGATACATAACATCTAAAATCCATTCCAGAACAAAGGAACCAACAATGCTTACTTATGCCAAACCATATCCTAATGTTATATAAATCATTCAGACTAACGCATACTCACTACAAGAAAACTGGGTATATGAGACGGAACTATTTGCGACGGCACACTTGCCGTCTCAAAAAGTCACTTTTTGTGACGGCAGAAAATGCCGTCTCAAAAAAGCAGAGTATTTGCGACGGCACCATTTGCCGTCTCAAAAAATGAGAGTATTTGCGACGGGTTGCAATGGAAAATGAGATTATGTGAGGAAGAGGTCTGAAAAAGAAGTACGCGATAAGGGAAAGGGACTGAGGAAGAGCATCATGGTGGGGAAAAGGTTCATAGTAGGAGAGGTGGTTTACAATGGCAGAATAGGGCTAGAGAGGGTGTTTTGTGGAAAGGTAAAGGGGTTAGGAAGAGGGTCACCACAAAAGAGGGATTGGGTCGCAGTGGGGAAGGGCTAAGGGTTTGTGGTCAGAGGTGTCAACCGGAAGTACTAGTGGGGGTCAGTAGGGTTCGAGTTTGAAAGGTAAGTGTGTAAACATGACGGTATATTTGGTGTTAAGGTGGGTATGTGAATTGTGTAGGTTCACTCGCGAAGCTATATCAGCAACCAAATCATTATGAGTAATATCTTAGGAAATATATTTCTATGTATCTTATTTTCTAAATGATACCAATGTGGTACGTTTTCTAAACTTATGATTTTGTGTTATCAATGAGCCTTCTATCTATTTGATTCGTGAAAGATCTGTAAATGTGATTGATAAGCATGAAACCATATGATGGACCTAAGGTTGTTCTGTACAAATGAAATGGACCAGAGGTCATTCTATATATTTGATGAGATGGACCTAAGGTCGTTCCGATTATCTAATTCTCTGTATATCTTCATGATCTCAAGTGACCTCCTCAACCCTGTGGTGTCGCCACAACACTTTTACCAAAGGAATCGTCTTGCCATGTAAGAGCTCTTGAGTATGAAGCCGTTGATCATGTGTTCATTGATGTGATTCCGATGAAAGGCCAGTCAAGATTCGGGAAAAAGGGCAAGTTGTCACCGCGATATATTGGGCCATTTCAAATTTTGAAAAGGCTAGGTCTAGTTGCTTATAGAGTTGCTTTACCACCGGGGTTCGAACAAATGCATAATGTGTTCCATGTATTGATGTTGAAGGGCTATCTTTGAGATCCATTTCACGTGATTGACTACCATTGGATAGCACTTGATGGAAATATGGAATACGAAATCATTGGCCGGCAAGTGAAACAATTGAGGAACAAGTCCATCCCAATGGTGAAGGTAGAATGGAAAGAACACTATGGGAAGGACGCTACATGGGAAAAGGATGATGAAATACAGCTACACTACCCACATTTGTTTCCGAATGGAGGTAAAATAAGTTTGGAGGACCAAACTTCCTAAAGGGGGGGAAGATTGTGATAACCTTATCCTGTGTTATGTTAATTAATCATAATTATGCTTGTGGATATGTGTTTAAATTAAGTTTGGGTGCTAATTGCTTTATTATTTGATTTTGTGAAGTTATATCTATTCACCGAAGGAAAATCTGTCTAACTTACTACTTTAATTTGAAAATTGAAAGCCGTAGAGGCAACAAAAGTTGAAATTGTCTGTGTCATTGTGATCAACATGATTTTTAGAGCCTACATTGAAATTTAATTAAAAATTGATTCGAACGAAGTTAATTAGATTAAATTGATTAAATTAAGCATAATTAATTAGCCTTAATCAAGTGTGATTAGGCAAGCATATATAAGGACCTTTTTTTTGGTGGATCATATATAAGGACCTATTTACACTTATACTCATTCTTTTGAGCTCATTCTCATAACTTGGCTGAAATACACTCTAGAGAGAGAGAGACGATTCTAGAGAGAGAGAGAGTGAAGGCAAAATTGGAGAATTAAGCTAGACACTTGAAGATTGAGAAGGTTAACTCAAGAACTAGCTAGAATTTTGAAGATTGGAGCTCTTAGGTGAGTGATTGAACTCAAATTCATGAGTTTAAGTTCATAATTTAGTGGATTCTAGCATGATATGTGACTAAGAATGAGATTTAAGTGGTATATGATGAAATTGAGGTCTATATATCCATGCATGTAAGGAATTGCCACAAATTTGCATAATCAAGCATGTAACATGTTAACCTTGAAGAATTGAGCGCCAAATCACACATGCATGCATACTGCCACTCCATTTACACTACCACTACCACAACTTCACCACTAATCTCTTTCGCCATCACCATCACCACCACCACCACCACCATCATCTCTTATCCACCACCTTCACTACTGTTGCTGCTCCTTTTTCTCTACCACAAAAAATTAGTTCATAATTTTTAGTAATAAAAAAAATAGGCCGCAGAAAAATATTTTTCATTGACTACAGAAAATTAACTTTTATTTTAGTGAAAATATTTTTTATTAAAATATATATGAAACAAATCAACCTTAATAACGGAAAGAAAATAAAAATTATTATTTATTTATTTTTATTATTAAAATATTTATTTATGATGAATTTTTTTTTTCCCCATTTTTTCCATTCCCGCGCCCCAAAATCCCCAATCTCTTTAGAACCAAAAAAAACACTAAATCTAATCGTCTCCCTCGCATCACTCTCTCAGTCGCCTCTCTCTCTCTCTCTCTCTCACCCTCTCATTTATCTCTGCACCGATCTCGTTCATCTCTGCACTGATCACTCTCTCACTCACTCGTTGTTCATCTCATCGATTCGCACCGATCATCGCACCGCCGATCTACTCACAGGTAAACTCTCTCTCTCAATCTCTGTCTGTCTCTCTCTCGGCCCGATGGTTGTTTTATATATATATCAGATATATCTCTGATCTAATCTGTTTCCCTCACTCTCTCATCTCATCAGATCAGTCTCATCTCTGTCCCTCCCTCTCTAGCCCCGATAGAATCACACTGTCTCACAGGTAAGCCTCTCTCTCTCTCTCTCTCTCCCTGATCTCTCATCTCTGCACTGCACCGATTGAATCTGTGTGTGTAATGTCTCCCTCATTCAGTGATGTCTATAATGTTTGTATGTTAATTTGAATCTGAAATGTTGATCTTAGTTGATCACACTGTGTAATCTGAAATCTGATCTTAGTTGTGTCTCACACTATGTAATGTTGATCTTAGTTGTGAAATCTGAAATCTGTATGTTAATTTTATTAATTCTGAAATCTAAATCTAAATCTGAATCTGAAATATGAATTTGTTTTGTTTGATCTGAAAATTGATTCTGATTGTTAACCTTTTTTTTTTCTCCTTCTCATCCTTTCTTTTATACCTTCCTTTATATAATAAATTAATCACCAATTTGCTATCTCAGTCATCTCAATCAAAATTGGAAAATGCAGGAGGGGAGAAGTACTTTTTGCAATACCTGGATATGACCTTAAGCCCTACCGGCAAATGCTACTTCCTTTTTCCTATGCCATTGTATCTGGTGCTGTAGGATCATGCTCGGTGTTGTTTGCAAAATCCCTGTAAGTAAGCTGAAGCTTTAAATTTTTATATTACATTGACCTCCTTTGAGATTTAGAGAAAATACAGTAAACCTCATAATTTTGACAAAATTACATTGAGTGCCCTTGAGATTTTAATTCATATAACTCTTAACCCTCTTTTCACCAATAATTTATTAGTTATATGGATGAAAAAATGATGTTGTCATCTCTTGTACACGAAAATGTATACTTTACGTTGTTTATTTTTGTGTTTTCGTACCATCTAGATTAGTTTTGGTGCATTTAACCTTACTAAAAGGGAGGTCAATGTAATTATGTCGAGACTATGAGGCTTAATTGTATTTTTTCCAAACCTCATGGGAGGTCAGTGTAATTTTCCAATTTTTATTTTTATTTTCCATCTTGGATGGTCAAAAAAAAGAAGACAAAGAAAACTAGAATTAAAATTTTTTTTGACATTCAATACCTTGATTTTTGCAGCTCTAACCTGCTAAGATTGTCCATGTCTGGTGGCTATCAGTTGCATAGCTGGTTCACATACTCCATGCTTTTATTATTTCTTAGAACGGCTAGCTTTTGGGTAATGCTTACATGAATAAGTCAATTTTTTTTCTTCATATTTCTACAATGTACGAGTTTGTGGAGACAATGAATTTGGGAATCCCTGATTTTATTCCTAATTTGTTACAACTGCAGATGGCAAGGTTGAATGAAGGATTATCACTCTTCGATGCAATACTTATTGTTCCTATGTTTCAGATTGCTTGGACTTTCTTCTCCATTTGTACAGGATTTGTATACTTTCAGGAATATCAGGTTCTTTCTCTGTCTCTTTCTCTCTCTGTGCGCATATCAGTACCTTAAGACTTTATCAAATCTAAATCAACTCTTAGTCAATGTGGTGTTAGGTTGATGTTTCAGGTAAACTGTCCAGCCCCTGAAACCACCCAAATATAAAGTTTAATAAAAATAAATTTATCATATAAAATTGATTAGTGTGTGTTTATCAAGTGTATGCAAATTAAAATGTGGTCTTATAAAATCTATGTATTCATATTTCACTACTTGATAAAGAACCGGCTAACCTCATTACACATTGTTTTGATTGTGGGTTAAAAGGAACAAAAACAACTATAGTGAGCTCAGCTTTGGTTTGAGACTGAACCAGACCAGATGAAATCAAGTTGTACTTCTTGACATAATGGGTCGGTGTTCTTTCCTGGTTATGTAAAACTGGGACAGCTGATTTATTCAAATAATTGGGATCAAGCGAGAGCAATTTGCTCTAGGGCAAATTGAGGTCAAATATCTTGCTCAGTTGCTCCATGTGGACTTGACGGTTAGAGATGTCCATATGGTGGGAATCATGCATGATGTATCCTGTAGAAAAAAGTGTTGCACCTTTGATGTTTACTCAATATTAACCCGCTTTAGTTTAGTCTGTTGGCATAGTCTGTTGGCATATGTCCAGTCTTGCTTCTCTTGAATTCACACACATTGGCAGACTATTGACTGCTGCTTAAGCAGGTATTTGGTGCTCTAAGGACAACAATGTTCATATTAGGAATAATTTCTGTATTCATAGGCATTTCTTTGCTGGCACCAGACGAGGCAAAAGGTATAGTTGTGGGTCATGGATATAGTTGTGGGTCATGATTTCTGTATTCATAGGCATTTCTTTCCATTAGAGCTATTAGAATTCCAATATTAGAGCTCTAAAGCATTTATATCGTCTCCCTCTCATCTTTCCTAACAACCATAGATCATAAATTATTGCACAAAAAATATAGAAAATAGAAAAAAAATTTAATTTTTAGTGGGCACCCTGTTTTTTTTTTATTTTTTCGTAAATTTTTTTTCGTTACACCTGATTAACTACCATATATAGAGTTAATTGTAATCACATATTAGTATTCTTCTCACAATTCTTTATGATGGACCCTCTGCATGTGAGTTCCTACAAAATAAATTTGTGTATTCTACAATCCAAGACAGGTAGGAACCCTTTAAGTCCAACCCTTCCCACTCCCATCAGACATGAAAAAATTCCCCAGGTATATTACAATAAGAGTTTATTACACTATTTTGGACTACATTGAATTCCATTATTATTATTATTATTATTATTATTATTATTATTATTATTATTATTATTATTATTATTATTTATTTATTTATTTATTTATTTATTTTTGTGAGCAGGGAAAGTTTTGGTTTCTCCAATTGAGAGATATGCAGTTGTTCCTGATGACAACGTAAGTGTTCTTTCCACAGTCTTCATTGTCTTCATTACTGGTGTTTAAATAGTTGGTTTCTCCAAAAGATTATAATTTGCAACTGTTATCTATTTATTTGTAGGTCAAAAGGATAAATTTTGCCGAGGGGAAGATCTGATTCTAGAAGTAAGGAATTTGCAGCTTGATTTTTGAAATAGGCTCAAAATTGAGATCTTGTTGGAAATTTTTTAATTTTTGTAAGAGCATTTAAATATCCAATGTGCTGATTGGTGAATTTTAGATTTTATTTTATTATTTTATTTTTTTTTAGGATTTGGGTGAATTTTATAATTTAAATATGCTTTTATGAACATGTACAGTTTAATTGTTCTTTGTAAAATATTGAATTTGATGGTTTGATCAATTTAAATTTTTATTTTTATTTTCTGTTATGATGTTTTTGTGAATAGAATGTAAATAATCAGCTCTTAGAGAGAGAGAGACAACACCACCGTCGGAAAAAATAGAAAATTTTAATATTTTTATTAATTTTGTTACAGGTTTTACTTTTTGCGACGACATTATACTGTCGCAAAAAATAGAAATTTTATTATTTAAAATAGAAATTTTATTATTTTTTAATATTTTTTGCGACGGCATTACACTGTCGCAAAAAATAGAAAATTTCATATTTTTTATATTTTTTGCGACGGCACCACACCGTCGCAAAAAGTGGTGTTTTTTTTTTAAAAAAAAAGACTATTGGTGACGGTATTTTTTTGCCGTCTCAAATAACATTTTTAGCGACGGTAAAATAGGGCCGTCGCAAAAAAGTCAAGAAATTTCAAACGTTATTAGCGATTGCACAGTGCCGTCGCAAAACATTAGCGACGGCACTTACCGTCGCAAAAACGCTTTTGCAACCCCTGCAGTTGCGACCCCCCTCTTGCCGTCGCAAAAAGTATTAGCGACGGCATTAGGAGTGTTAGCGACGGTATTTTACCGTCACAAAAAGTCAATTTTTTTGTAGTGGAAAACAAAGGAAAGTGAGTACTATAAAACATATTTTCATAAATTCATGGGATTGAATAAATGAATGTATGAAAACAAGTTTGAAAATATGAAGTTGAGTTACGATTTGGAATTGAAACATAATCCAAGTCTCAAAATAATGCCTATGGAGACCAAAAATAATTAATTTGATACGGATGTCATGATCTAAAGTTAAAATCTATGGCAAAGATGTATTTCATGCCTAGTTTTAAGTTGAATTATGGCTAAACTAAGGATACATAGCACTAGACTATACCAAGGCCTCGTTTGAGAAGCGACCGGCTTAGTTAGAAAGTCAAAAAGTTACTAAAAAAAGTCAAAAAGTCAACAACTCATACAAAAAAGTTAAAGATTCTCTTTTCTTTTTATTTTTTGCACATCTTTTTGTAAAAAACCAAAAAATCATCCCAAACATACTAGTTTTTTTTATCTCATATTTTAGCCAAATAGTCAAAAAATTACTAAATTAGTCTGTTCTCAAACGAGGCCTTGTGTTCAATGTTTGATTGATTGGGGTTTTGTTCCATCTTCAATTCTTATATTTATAGATGTTGAAACTTCTTGAAAATAGTAGCCACCTCTTGGAAATCTGTAACAATCTCTCATGATCTCTTGGAAATGAGATGCTGGATTGTCTCCTACGGTGACATCTGTCCTAACAACCTCCTAATTTTCAACAGGTGATTGGGTAATTCCTCATAAATAGCGTTGATCAGATCGTCAAGAAACACGAAACGTTGGGTGGTGAATGGGGGTTCTTGGATGGTTGTCAAGTATCCCATGCTTGATCAACTCACACCTCCTTTGTAAAAGCTGTTGCACATTTTGAAATGGAACTGTTGGATTGCTTCTGGCAATGGATATAGAACCTTTTGAATTGTTGCCACTTGTCCTCCTGATGTATTATCTCCAAAAATATATATATATATCTATATAATAAGGCACAAGGCTTTTTGAAAAATGTATCAAAATGTATGTGAGATACATTTTGATCCAATGGCTGAGATCAATTCCAAATATATATCAATGGTTGAGATCAATGGTTTATATCAAAATGTATCAAAGTTTTCCCGCCCAACACATTTCTGTCTCCCCCATACCCTGTCTCCCCCATACCCTCTGTCTTCTTTCCATTCCTACTCTCTGATGAGATGTGAAGCTTGACAGAAAAATACTACTGCACTCTTAACTGCTGGAGAGAAGCACATACGAAATTGATTTAAGAAGGTTGGATTGAATTCAAACAGAGGTGAGTTGAATTCAAATTCTAACAGAGGTGGGTTGGAGAGAAGCAGGTTGGATTCAAATTCTGCACAGTTATGTTTCGGGTTCCTTTCCTTTCCTCTCTTATATGCACAGTCAATCGATTCATATATGCTTTCTCTCATTTTTATTCTCTCATTTTTGTTCTTCTTCTTGATTTTTTTTTTCCCTCAGCTTTTGCCTTCATCAGAGCTTACCGTTGTTCACTCTGGCTCCAAGTGAAACAGGAACTTCAAACAGAGGTGAAACAAAATAACATACACTTAATGAAACCAATCTGACATGCTGGTTTTGCCGACTCCAGAGTACTCCAAAAAATGAAACCAATCTGATGCTTGATGATGCCAATTGAAACCAATGATGATGATATACTCCAAAAATTTTAATATACAAAACCAGAGTACTCAGTTCTGTGCTTTGCTCTTTCTCTCTCACTCTCTTTCTTCATGACAATTGAGTATTTAAGGAGAGAGAGCGAAGAACAAAAACGTATGTTAATCATTGGAGTACTCTGAGTTTCATTTTTCTGGAGTACTCTGTTAACAAAACCAGAGTATGTTAACAAAACCAGCATGTATCATTGACTTTCTATTTTTTGGAGTACTCCTGAAAACATGAGTTTCCATGAAATGAGTTTCCATGAGTTTCCTGAAAACATGAGTACTCCTGAAAACTCATTTTTCTGGTCCCCTCCAATGAAACTCAGAGGAAAGAAAATATGTTAACATGACAATATGCTAGAGTTTACAAGAGTTTCATTTTTCTGGAGTTTCATTTTTCTGGAAATGTTTACAAGAGTTTACAAGAGTTTCCTGATCAATCATGTTTCATATGGATTCATTTCAGGATTTTTCTGCACGTATAGAATAAATTTTTTATGTTTCATATTCAATATTATATTGAGTTTCATTATTCAATTCTTTTTTATGTACATTTTTTTCTTTGGGATTTTTCTTTGGGTATCTTTTTAATGATTTCAATTATTTCCTTTTATAGTAGATTGGTTAATCTGATGCTTAATAGGATACAATTTATATTTAAATACTCAAGTCTGGAGTAAATTTGATCATTAAAGTATTTAAATACTTTTAGGATACAATTTAAAATTTATAGGATACAATTTTCTATCATACAATATATCATAAAATTTATACTTGAGATTTTAAAATTTTCTACAAACAGAGGTGAGATTTTGATCATTAATAGGATACAATTTACAATTTATAGGATACAAAATAGGATACAATAATATATTTAAATACTTTTATATTTTGATCATTAAAAGATAGGACTCCACCATTTCGTTTCATTTACTCCAGACTTGAGATTATAGTAGATTGGTTAATCTGATGCTTAATAGGATACAATTTATATTTAAATACTCAAGTCTGGAGTAAATTTGATCATTAAAGTATTTAAATACTTTTAGGATACAATTTAAAATTTATAGGATACAATTTTCTATCATAAAATATATTTATGATCATTAATAGGATACAATTTACAATTTATAGGATACAAAATAGGATACAATAATATATTTAAATACTTTTATATTTTGATCATTAAAAGATAGGACTCCACCATTTCGTTTCATTTACTCCAGACTTGAGATTATAGTAGATTGGTTAATCTGATGCTTAATAGGATACAATTTATATTTAAATACTCAAGTCTGGAGTAAATTTGATCATTAAAGTATTTAAATACTTTTAGGATACAATTTAAAATTTATAGGATACAATTTTCTATCATAAAATATATTTATGATCATTAATAGGATACAATTTACAATTTATAGGATACAAAATAGGATACAATAATATATTTAAATACTTTTATATTTTGATCATTAAAAGATAGGACTCCACCATTTCGTTTCATTTACTCCAGACTTGAGATTATAGTAGATTGGTTAATCTGATGCTTAATAGGATACAATTTATATTTAAATACTCAAGTCTGGAGTAAATTTGATCATTAAAGTATTTAAATACTTTTAGGATACAATTTAAAATTTATAGGATACAATTTTCTATCATAAAATATATTTATGATCATTAATAGGATACAATTTACAATTTATAGGATACAAAATAGGATACAATAATATATTTAAATACTTTTATATTTTGATCATTAAAAGATAGGACTCCACCATTTCGTTTCATTTACTCCAGACTTGAGATTATAGTAGATTGGTTAATCTGATGCTTTAGTTTATGATTAAGAAAATATTGATTAAGAATATTTTCTTAGTTGATTAAGAACTTCAAACAGAGGTGTTAGAGGTTGAAAAACATATTTTGAAAAACATGATGATGTTTACCGCTGTGACTTTCTATTTTGAAAATGGTCCCCTCGCAGAATGGTGTTAGAGGTTGAAAAATGTGACATATTTGGCACAATGACATCTGGAAAAATGTGAGTTGAAAAACATATTTGGCACATAGTATTTTAATGATTAAGAATAGCATTTTAAGAAAAAATGATTAAGAAAATATTTATACCAGCATATATTTTCTTAGTTGATGATTAAGAAAATATTCACATATATATTTTCTTATCATCAATGTAAAATATTCACATTAACAGCATATATCATCAATGTAAAATATTTATACTTAATGACTACCAGCATATATCATCCAGAGTGAAGTTCCCCTTGCACCCAATGACTACTCAGTAAAATATTTATACTTAATGACTACTCAGTAAAATATTTATACTTAATGACTACTCAGTAAAATATTTATACTTAATGACTACTCAGTAAAATATTTATACTTAATGACTACTCAGTAAAATATTTATACTTAATGACTACTCAGTAAAATATTTATACTTAATGACTACTCAGTAAAATATTTATACTTAATGACTACTCAGTAAAATATTTATACTTAATGACTACTCAGTAAAATATTTATACTTAATGACTACTCAGTAAAATATTTATACTTAATGACTACTCAGTAAAATATTTATACTTAATGACTACTCAGTAAAAT